TGCATTTCTAAGCATTTGTCCATTTCTTCCAGGTTGTCCATTTTATTGGCATAGAGTTGCCTGTAGTAATCTCTCATGATCTTTTGTATTTCTGCAGAGTCAGTTGTTACTTCTCCTTTTTCATTTCTAATTCTATTGATTTGAGTCTTCTCCCTTTTTTTCTTGATGAGTCTGGCTAATGGTTTATCTATTTGGTTTATCTTCTCAAAGAACCAGCTTTTAGTTTATTGATCTTTGCTATTGTTTCCTTCATTTCTTTTTCATTTATTTCTGATCTGAATTTTATGATTTCTTTCCTTCTGCTAACTTTGGGGGTTTTTTCTTCTTCTCCAATTGCTTTAGGTGCAACGTTAGGTTGTTTATTCGAGATGTTTCCTGCTTCTTAATGTGGGCTTGTATTGCTATAAACTTCCTTCTTAGAACTGCTTTTGCTGCATCCCATAGGTTTTGGGTCGTTGTGTCTCCATTGTCATTTGTTTCTAGGTATGTTTTTATTTCCTCTTTGATTTCTTCAGTGATCACTTCATTATTAAGTAGTGTATTGTTTAGCCTCCATGTGTTTGTATTTTTTACAGATCTTTTCCTGTAATTGATATCTAGTCTCATAGCGTTGTGGTCAGAAAAGATACTTGATACAATTTCAATTTCCTTAAATTTACCAAGGCTTGATTTGTGACCCAAGATATGATCTATCCTGGAGAATGTTCCATGAGCATTTGAGAAAAATGTGTATTCTGTTGTTTTTGGATGGAATGTCCTATAAATATCAATTAAGTCCATCTTGTTTAATGTATCATTTAAAGCTTGTGTTTCCTTATTTATTTTCATTTTGGATGATCTGTCCATTCGTGAAAGTGGGGTGTTAAAGTCCCCTACTATGAATGTGTTACTGTCGGTTTCCCCTTTTATGCCTGTTAGTATTTGCCTTATGTATTGAGGTGCTCCTATGTTGGGTGCATAAATATTTACAATTGTTATATCTTCTTCTTGGATCGATCCCTTGATCATTATGTAGTTTCCTTCTTTGTCTCTTCTAATAGTCTTTATTTTAAAGTCTGTTTTGTCTGATATGAGAATTGCTACTCCAGCTTTCTTTTGGTTTCCATTTGCATGGAATATCTTTTTCCATCCCCTTACTATCAGTCTGTATGTGTCTCTAGGTCTGAAGTGGGTCTCTTGTAGACAGCATATATACGGGTCTTGTTTTTGTATCCATTTTGCCAATCTGTGTCTTTTGGTGGGAGCATTTAGTCCATTTACATTTAAGGTAATTATCGATATGTATGTTCCTATTCCCATTTTCTAAATTGTTTTGGGTTCGTTATGATTGGTCTTTTCCTTCCCTTGTGTTTCTTGCCTAGAGAAGTTCCTTTAACATTTGTTGTAAAGCTGGTTTGGTGGTGCTGAACTCTCTCAGCTTTTGCTTGTCTGTAAAGGTTTTAATTTCTCCATCAAATCTGAATGAGATCCTTGCTGGGTAGAGTAATCTTGGTTGCAGGTTTTTCTCCTTCATCACTTTCAGTATGTCCTGCCACTGCCTTCTGGCTTGTAGGGTTTCTGCTGAGAGATCAGCAGTTAACCTTATGGGGATTCCCTTGTGTGTTATTTGTTGTTTTTCCCTTGCTGCTTTTAATATGATTTCTTTGTATTTAATTTTTGACAGTTTGATTAATATGTGTCTTGGCATATTTCTCCTTGGATTTATCCTGTATGGGACTCTCTGTGCTTCCTAGACTTGATTAACTATTTCCTTTCCCATATTAGGGAAGTTTTCAACTATAATCTCTTCAAATATTTTCTCAGTCCCTTTCTGTTTCTCTTCTTCTTCTGGTACCCCGATAATTCGAATGTTGGTGTGTTTAATGTTGTCCCTGAGGTCTCTGAGACTGTCTTCAGTTCTTTTCATTCTTTTTTCTTTATTCTGCTCTGCAGTAGTTATTTCCACCATTTTATCTTCCAGGTCACTTATCCATTCTTCTGCCTCAGGTATTATGCTATTAATCCCTTCTAGAGTATTTTTAATTTCATTTATTGTGTTGTTCATAGTTTCTTGTTTCATCTTTAGTTCTTCTAGGGCCTTGTTAAATGTTTCTTGCATTTTATCTAGTCTATTTCCAAGATTTTGGATCATCTTTACTATCATTATTCTGAATTCTTTTTCAGGAAGACTGCCTATTTCCTCTTCATTTGTTAGGTCTGGTGGGTTTTTACCTTGCTCCTTCATCTGCAGTGTGTTTTTGTGTCTTCTCATTTTGCTTATCTTACTGTGTTTGGGGTCTCCTTTTTGCAGGCTGCAGGTTCGTAGTTCCCGTTGTTTTTGGTGTCTGTCCCCAGTGGCTAAGGTTGGTTCAGTGGGTTGTGTAGGCTTCCTGGTGGAGGGGACTAGTGCCTGTGTTCTGGTGGATGAGGCTGGATCTTGTCTTTCTGGTGGGCAGGTCCACGTCTGGTGGTGTGTTTTGTGGTGTCTGTGGACTTATTATGATTTTAGGCAGCCTCTCTGCTAATGGGTGGGGTTGTGTTCCTGTCTTGCTAGTTGTTTGGCATAGGATGTCCAGCACTGTAGCTTGCTGGTCATTGAGTGAAGCTGGGTGCTGGTGTTGAGATGGAAGTCTCTGGGAGATTTTCGCCGTTTGATATTATGTGGAGCTGGGAGGTGTCTTGTGGACCAGTGTCCTGAAGTTGGCTCTCCCTCCTCAGAGGCACAGCACTGACTCCTGGCTGCAGCACCAAGAGCCTTTCATCCACATGGCTCAGAATAAAAGGGAGAATATGTAGAAAGAAAGAAAGAAAGAAAGAAAGAAAGAGAGAGAGAGAGAGGAGGGAGGGAGGGAGGGAGGGAGGGAGGGAGAGAGAGAGAAAGGAAGGAAGGAAGGGAAGAAAGGAAGAAAGAAAGAAAGAAAAGGAAAGAAAAGAAAGATAAAGTTATTAAAATAAAAAATATTAAGAAAAAAAATTTTTAAGAAAAAAAAAAAATGGACAGAACCCTAGGACAAATTGTGGAAGCAAAGCTATACAGACAAAATCTCACACAGAAGCATACACATACACACTCACAAAAAGAGGAAAAGGGGAAGAAATCATAAATCTTGCTCCCACAGTCCACCTCCTCAATTTGCGATGATTCGTTGTCTATTCAGGTATTCCACAAATGCAGGTACATCAAGTTGACTGTGGAGCTTTAATCCGCTGCTTCTGAGGCTGCTGGGAGAGATTTCCCTTTCTCTTCTTTGTTCTCACATCTCCCGGGGCTCAGCTTTGGATTTGGCCCTCCCTCTGCATGTAGGTCGCCGGAGGGCGTCTGTTCTTCGCTCAGACAGGACGGGGTTAAAGGAGCAGCTGATTTGGTGGCTCTGGCTCACTCAGGCGGGGGGAGGGAGGGGCACGGAGTGCGGGGCGGCCCTGCAGCGGCAGAGGCCAGCATGACGTTGCAGCAGCCTGAGGCGTGCTGTGCGTTCTCCCGGGAAAGTTGTCCCTGGATCCTGGGACCCTGGCGGTGGCGGGCTGCACAGGCTCCCCGGAAGGGTCTCTGGGGTCCGCGCTGTTAGCCGCGGCTCGCGCCCGTCTCTGGAGCTCCTTTAAGCAGCGCTCTTAATCCCCTCTCCTCGCGCACCAGGAAACAAAGAGGGAAGAAAAAGTCTCTTGCCTCTTCGGCAGCTCCAGACTTTTCCCCGGACTCCCTCCCGGCCAGCCATGGCGCACTAACCCCCTGCAGGCTGTGTTCACGCCGCCAACCCCAGTCCTCTCCCTGCACTCCGACCGAAGCCCAAGCCTCAGCTCCCAGCCCCGCCCGCCCCGGCAGGTGAGCAGACAAGCCTCTCGGGCTGGTGAGTGCCGGTCGGCACCGATCCTCTGTGCGGGAATCTCCCCGCTTTGCCCTCCGCACCCCTGTGGCTGTGCTCTCCGCCGCGGCTGCGAAGCTTCCCCCCTCCGCCACCCGCAGTCTCCGCCCGCGAAGGGGCTCCTAGTGTGTGGAAACCTTTCCTCCTTCACAGCTCCCTCCCACTGGTGTGGGTCCTGTCCCTATTCTTTTGTCTCTGTGGGGACTTTCTAGCCTTTTAGGATGTCAGAGGTCTTCTGCCAGCATTCAGTAGGTGTTCTGTAGGAGTTGTTCCATGTGTAGATGTATTTCTGGTATATCTGTGGGGAGGAAGGTGATCTCCGCGTCTTACTTCCGCCATCTTCCCCTCGTCTCTCATGTTCATTTTAGAATCAGCTTGTCATTTTCCACAGAAAAGTTGGAATTTTCATTGAGGTTGTATCAAATTGTATCATTTTTTAAAATCTTATTTTCTAACTCTTTGTTTTTGGTGTGTAGGAATAATTTATCCATTTTGTGGAGATTTTCCCCATTTATAATCATATAGTCTATGAATAATGACAGTGTGTTTTTCTTTCCAATGCTTACACTGTTTATTTCTTTCTATTGCCTTGTTACACTGGCTAGGACCTCCAGTACAGTGTTGAATAGAAATGGTCATAGTGTAACCTTTGTCTTATTCTTGATCTCAGAGGGAAAACTCTTAACATATCACCATTAACATGATGTTTGTCATAGCGTTTTTTGTAGATACCTTAAACAGTTGAAGGAAGTGCTCCAAAGCCGAGCTGGGTTTACCCAGCTCTCTCTTCTTGGAAGACCCAACACTCTAATGTTTGCCCCCCTCACTCTTTGAGCTAGGACTCTCAGAGGCTCTGCTTAGCAGTTGGGTTGGGAGAGATTCCCCATTCCACTATTCCAGGAGCCTACTGTTAACTTTTTATGCACATTTACCAAGCTCTGTCTTTAACTGAAAGCTCTTCCATTGATATGAACCCTTATTACATCTTTAGAAATGGTTCAAAACCTTGTGGGGTTGAGCACCTAAAAAGCTGAAAACCAAGCTTCTAGTCTTTTAGTAAATGTATGTATAATTAATTTAGCACTGCTTTCAAATCTTCAAAGAATTGTGAACAAAGAAAGTACAAAAATTTAATGCTTCTAAATGGTCTTCTGAAAACAGGTTCAAAAGAATATTAATGGTTCCACTAGTATGTTACCTGACCTGCCAGTCTCTTTGGTTCTGACCTGCTTGATCATGGTTGATATTATTGAAAAACTCAGGACATATCCTCTTAGAGGGAGGCAAAAGAGTAAGTATTCTTTTAAATACAAATATTTTTTAAAGTTTCACATATAGTTCACCTTTCTCCCACTCTTGTCTGTTGACATGTTTAATGATATATTTTAAGAGCTAAGATTACAGATAGAAGATTACAAATGAAGATATCCAAATGTAATTGTAGCTATACAGTTATTCTTTTTTGATTTTGATAGTACTGACAAATGGATAAAGTTACTAAATATTTAATACTAAATCTTTAATGTTTATTCTAACATGAAAATTACCTAAGTCAATTATTATAGATTTGTATTTTTAGGAACTCTCTCAAAACCTTAAGTTGAGATGAATAGAGAGTTTAGTCTGCATACCTTTGATACAGGAATTAATATGACTGCTGCAGATACGTCCTAGAGATTTCTGTGTTTTTAATCGTGGATTGTCAAAAAGCTAAAGATCACACTCAAAACCAAGATATGCCACATTCTTCCAAAGGGAGCAGTTGAAACTAAATATTGGTTGGCCTTTAAAAAAACTATTTTGTTAATTGAATATTTTGTTCGGTCAGTCAAAAATCCCCTCAACTTTCATTTAATTTTATGTGATGGTATCTGTGTTTGATTTACAGTATTTGCATGGTATGGTTATTGTATGGCAAAGATTTTGCATTTGAAATGGGTAGGTTTTGTTAATCATTCCCTGACGGAGTGGATGGGAGAAATTGAGTGAGTCACAGGAGAACGCTTTGGGGTAATAGGGCGACTACTACAACCAGGAAGGAAAGCACTAGGCTCATTTCTTATGAGCCATCACGCCTCCAGTCACTCTTGCTCCTCAGATTGAAAAGCAAAACTGAGTTGGAGGCCACCAGGAAGCCTGAGACTCTGAGCTTCATATTTTGCACTTTGCCCTTGGGTGGCAGATGATAGACTGTTAAGTTTAACATAACACAGGTGACAAGGTAGATAAGATGGCAGCCAATGAGTCTGTTGAAGAAAAGGTACTCCCAAGGTACATCTGCCCTCCACAGACAAGTGTATTTGTCTTAAACTGAGGATATTTGGGAATCGCCAAACCCTTTACTACTTCTGTGGACTGCTTAATGACAAGCCCATTTTGAAATTGGACTGTTTTTAATGAGTCTGTATTTTCCATGTTAATCTGAAGTTGCTACGTTTTTAGTGAAAATTCTCTTTTAAAAAATGCACATGTATATTTTTGGGAATCATTTATTGGCGTTTTATATTTTAAGTGATGAGTTGGATTTTTAAAGGGGCATTTTCTTTGTATTCAGAAGTAGTGATGAAAAGAGAATCAAAATAAGAGAACCTCAAGGAAGAAGTCAGTCTTGGGGAGAAGACTCTAGAACATCTTGTTCAATTGCTGCTTCTTAGTTGAAGTGCCTCTTTCTTGAGCTTTTTCTTCTCTGCTCAAACTTAGGAAGGCTAATGTCTGGTTAAATAGCGCCACCGTTTAATAAAATCACACTTTAACATACTAGCATTCATTCAAAATACCTTTGTAAATATTAATTATATGTGTATTTAATTTTTGTGCAAACTTTGAACTCAATTAGTCTCCTATACTCATTTTAACAGGCATACTAATAAAATCAATTGTGTGAATTTTTAACCAATGGGGTATTCTCATTTATCCTCTGGAACGTAAATTAATACATAAACTCATAAACATAATACGTAAATCTGAATATAAGCAAGTATGCTATAAATACGGTTTCACTGCATGTGCTACCTCAGAATCAAAGCAGTAGGGTAAGGGTGTGTGACAGCAAAGTTTAGAATAATTTGTGTCCCTTTAGAAAATGTTGAGAAAGAAGTACATTCTCTTCTTTGCTATCCAGATAGTTTGACATGCATCCATACTAGTCAACTTATAGCAGTTTTCACTTTATACCAGATGAAACTAAGGTACTCTGCAATGCTTGGATTTATGGACACACTTGCACTACCCTACCTTGAAGTACAGTTGATTTACAATGCTGTGTTAATTTCTGCTGTACAGCAAAGGGGTTCAGTTGTACATATATAAACATTCTTTTTTTATATATTATTTTCCATTATGGTTTATTACAGCATATTGAATAGAGTTCCCTGTGCTCTACAGTAGGGCCTTGTTGTTTGTCCGTTCTCTATATAACAGTTTGCATCTGCTCATCCCACGCTCCCAGTCCATCCTCCCCCACACTCCCTCCTAACTATACTGTCTTAATTCCAAGCTACCAAAGTTTGATCTTTGTATAGTTTTTCTTTTTCTAAATTTAAAAATAAAAGTTCTATATTTGACATATGCTTAAAACAATCTTTCGTGGCCCAAAGAATCCTTTCTGCTACTTCATACTACCAGTTGAAATACCTAAGTATCGAGTGATTACCAAGCCGTAACATTTAAGTGGATCATTTCCCATAGACTGGGGCTCACTTGGGAATATTTTTTGGAACACAGATCTCTGAGGCATGGCAATCTCACAGATGCACATAGCACCGAATAGTGTCAAATCCCGGTCATGGGAATAAATAATAAGAATACAATATATAGCCTGCATGTCCCCCACTCTTACTAGTATGTGGGTACAAATGAACACACTTTTACATTTCCATCTGAATTTTGCTAGCTCAGTCCCAACCTGTTAGTGACTGGACCTCCATTTCTCTTCCTCTCCCATATTGTTCTCTCTCCCATGTTTTAATTTTTTTGGCTGCGTTTAGGGTCTTCGTTGCTGCGCGTGCGCTCTCTCTAGTTGCAGCAAGCGGGGGCTACTCTTAGTTGTGGTGTGCGGGCTTCTCATTGTGGTGGCCTCTCATTGCAGAACACGGGCTCCAGTAGTTGTGGCCCGTGGGCTCAGTAGTTGTGGCTCGCAGGCTCTAGAGCGCAGGCTCAGTAGTTGTGGTGCACAGGCTTAGTTGCTCCGTGGCATGTGGGATCTTCCTGGACCAGGGCTCGAACCCATGTCCCCTGCATTGGCAGGCGGATTCTTAACCACTGTGCCACCAGGGAAGCCCCTCTCTCCCACTTTTAAATGAGACCCTATATGGGTCTCCCGTGGTCTCATTTGTTGGTCTAGACTGTTGAATATCCTCTTGCCCCTACTTTCCTCTCAGCTGTCTTTCTCATGTTCAAACAACTTCGTGTGCTATTTTCCCACCACCCCTGCTCGACTCTGCTCCAAACACCCTTAGTTACTGCTGTTTCTTGCCTCTGGGATATTGCTTGATGTTCTGCTGGTGTTTTGAATTGATTACCTTTCCCCTGCCATTGGAGTATTGACTTCCCTCCCCTGAGTTCTACGTTCCTAGAGAAGTCCCACACAGAGTCATGGAATAGCTATTTTCACTTAGAAACACAACGCTTTTATCCCCAGAATGTATATGGAATCACAGACTGTCTGGGCTTTAATGATTTCAAGTAATGGCCATTCAATCCACTGGAAACCACTGTTTCCTCTCCTGCCACTAGATGTTATGGCTGATTCTGGTAGAGCTAGACTCCTTCTTCTTTGGGAGTGGCTTTTTTTCTGAGGAGCCTCATAGTTTGTCCTTACATCAGCCTCACCTTTATTGTCTGAACCCCAAATCATGGTCACCGTTAGATTCTCCTCCCTGCCCCCACCAAGATTCCTTAACTCCCATATAAACCAGTGACTGCAGACAGACATATAAGGGAGTCTGTGGTTAGGAAGTGAGTTTTCAGTTCTCCCTGCAGGACTTATTAGAGTAGCATGAACCCAGCTTGGGCACCATATTACAAAGCGGTATAATAGCGTATCGTGGTTAAAGTACTGTAGGGCCCCAGGTGACGGCAAACTTCATTTTATCTAAGGTGCTGGAGGTCAGAAAAGACTAAGGGGAATACCTGGAATTTGTACGAGTTTGTAGGCAGACATGGTGAAGAAAGCTTTCTCCACAGAAGGAAGGTTGGGTCTCTAGAAACTCAGGTGTCCATGTAATAAGCGGGCATGTTTGGGAGGCAAAAATAACTTCGGCTGCATTTCTCACCCTGAGTAGGCAAACCTAGCGCTGGAACGGAAGTTGCCTTCTCTTTTTTTTGTGGTACGCAGGCCTCTCACTGTTGTGGCCTCTCCCGTTGCGGAGCACAGGCTCCGGAGTGCAGGCTCAGCGACCACGTCTCATGGGCCCAGCTCCTCCGCGGCATGTGGGATCTTCCCGGACCGGGCCACGAACTCATGTGCCCTGCATCGGCAGGCGGACTCTCAACCACTGCGCCACCAGGGAATCCCCTGGAAGTTGCCTTCTTAAGACCAGCTACTGTTTGCTTTTCAAATAGTCAATTTGGAAACCTCCAAAGCTGTAAAGATCTTCTGGAGGTGGGGAGAGCAGGAGGGGGAGGCTGAACTGGGGTCTCTGGATGCCCCAATTCCTACTTCAACCAGAGAAACACAGCTTTTGTTTGTTTAGGAGTTAGCGTTTTATGTAAGATTTCATTGGAAAAAGTGCTTCTTCTAAATGTCTGCAAATCAATGTAGGACCTCATTTAGAGTTGTTGGCTGTACCTATATCCAGCCAATTCTCAGCATCTCCAGCCATTAGTCCCATGATGACACCGCACAGTCTAGAAAAAAATGTGACCCCCTCCAAGGTCTTGTGATCGTTGCTGCTCTGGGGGATGAGACGATGCAACGCAATCCAATCCCATCTAATACAGTGCAATTCAGCTTTGCAGACAGAGCTGGATCATCCCGGTGGAGTACACACAGGTTTGAGGCCCAACACATACAAAAACCAGATAACATTTTTAACATTCCACTTTTGAATTTTTAAAATTTCCCATGTTTTCTGTTTCTCCAAAATAACACATATTTATTTAAGGATTATCAAATAGACATAAACAAAAAAGAAGAAAATGGAAATCAACCAGAGTTCTACACACTAGAGATCTATAACTGATAGCATCTTGATGGGTGTTCTTAAGAAAACCTACTTTATAACTTTTTTTTCCTCAACAATGTGTGGTGGGTATCATTCTTGTTAAAAAATGGTGGATATTGGGCTTCCC